TCTTTTGCATAATTTAACGGGTTCAAACCCGATTTTTAAATTGCGTACAAATTTTGGTAAGCATTATGGAACGATGTTGTTCGATTCAAATTGTGGGTGTGTCGATTATATCAAAAATTTAATAATAAAATGGGCGTTTTGTACAAACGTGTAATGACTTTCGAATGTGAGAGTATGTGCAATGTGTGTTTTTACCGCATTTAGATGCCAATCTGTCGGTGAAATTCGCAGACAGTCTGGCTTTGATGAAAACATTACTCACATACACACCAAGTTCACACACAAACCAAGTTAAATACACACAGTGACATAGCCGGATGTCATTTGACTTCGTTTTCCGGTAGGAAGAACGATTTCCCAGCACCTTTTTACTTTCATTTTACTGTCTGCATTATCATTTTAATGCCGGCACTTACACATCTGCGCGCACGCCAATGTCAATGAACGGTCGTTCCGCCGGTCTCAAACAAGAATGGCTGGCTTCTTATAATCAAATCATATATCAAATGCATAAGCACATAGGCCTCGCTTGAACTTGGTTCCACGTGAACAACCATTTTAACGTCCAAAAAAGGGTAACAATCTGTAGACACTTCCTACAAACGGCAAAATGCCGACCAAAATGTTCAGGTGCAATTCATGCTCAGGTGTTCTCCAACTCTCTCCGTACTATTTTATTGCATCAGACTCATTTTTTTGTTGCGTCAACGAGAAAGCCACAAAACTTTTAATTTACCGCTTAATAAATGTGAAATAGCATAAATTTGAAGCGTTTTTAAAGTATCAATTAGAAAAATTGTATCTCTTTCGCTCATCAAAATCAACCGCAAAATAACATTTCATTTCATGTGTTACTTTATGATGATAATAAATTGAGTGTTAGAGTCAGTCAGAAATGCAAAATTAAAAAGGCATTCCTACTAGCATTCCTAATTGTTTTTTGCAACGCAAACATGCGCATGGATTTCTGTTTCTCTTGTTGCTTGGAAATTGTCATTAGTAAGTCCATCGATTTTTCTTTGTTCAGCATAATAATAGTAAGCATAAGTTATTTTCATCACATCAAATGGCAGAAAAAAACACTTTGGATTTCATATCCCAATTAGTTTTTTTTAATAATAATGGTGCTGTTAAGTCCTTCTCTTTTCCACTGTCGGCTGATTGTAGTTTCGATATCATTTTATTAAAAGCGGCGCCAATAAGCTCGCACACGGTGAAGTTGTTTATGTTGGGAAATTTTTGCAGGAAGATTGTTATGCTATGGCATTGCATCGATACGGCGGCGACGACGACATCGACAATTGAACAAGCCAACAATAAATTTGTCGTGAAATTCAGTACATACACTTTTTTCCGTTCTATATTCGATGTCCATGGATGCATGGATGCAATATTTCGATGCAGTTGATTCCAGTACGTGGTATGGTTGTACAACAATTAAAGCAAATGTAAGCGTAACATGAGTCGCACGCGCAATAAGTGGAAATTTGTGTGTGAGAGCGGGAGAGAATAAATGAAAAAAAGAGAGACGGTGCTTCAGCGTGAGATGCGATCATATACAGCGTAAAAAGGCAATTCGAATAAATTGGAAAAACCGAAGGAAATACGCAAGAAATAACGTATATTCTGTATCTAGTTTATTTTACAAACTGTGCGTGATCAACACCAATCAAGTGCGAATGAGTAATTCAAAGCAATTTTTATGTCACATGACATTTTTATTTTATTATTTCATTTTTCCTCTCTCACAAATAAACTCCCATCTCGGTTTCATTTTATTTTTAAATGGAAATTTACAAAAAACTGTGTAATTTTTTTCCATAGGTACTGAATGTTGCGTGTCAAATTTTCAATCGGCCTAGTCAAGCAAGTGTGAATTGCGTGAATTCAATATAAAATCTGCACCATCTACACCATGTTCAACAACAATTTTCCATTCAAATTAAATTTTTCTAAATGGAATTGTACTTAATATTGTTCGCGTTTCCCCATTTATGTTACAAAGTTTTTTATCTAGCAATTTTTTTTGATGTAAATGTGCAGCAAATACTTCTATGAATTATTCAGCATTGCATATTCATCAATCATCATATAGTCGGTGTATTTTTATTCATATAAAATGTCCGTTGGCATCTAAAATTTGAACTATGGAATGCACAAATCTATACGAGATTTTATTAATTCATCAAAAAATCACATCACCACATTTTGTTCCATAAACACATTTTTCCGAGCAAATATTTATCCATTTAAAATGTCAATTTTGCATTTTTTGCTCGCGTATTTCTTTCTTTTTCGGCTTTCATCAAGTTAATCGAAATGACCAACATGTTTGTGTATATATTTTGCTTTGACGCAATCATCATTCGGATCATGAATTTTATTTCTCGGAATGGCCAACATTTTTGATGATGATATTTTCCATTCTATATTCCGATGAGATGTGGATTGTACGAAAATGCAATCGTGGCATAACAACAACGGCCATCAGTTTGTCTATCAATAATTTTAAATTCCATAACTGAACCGCCATATACATTGTCGAATGTTAAACCTTTGTAAGCAAAAAACTGAATACAAATAAATTTTCGCCCGACAAATTGACTATTCAGCACATGCAAAATGCAAATATCAGAAAATTACGGATCACGTTTACGTGAGTGAATGCGATTGCATTTTATGGTGTGTTTGTGTCCGTATGTTTTCGAACACAAATACTATGTGCTTGTGAAGTATTTTCCCATCGACGCCATAAATCTCATTGCAAAATCTTATAATAAATTCATCAATTTTAACAATATCGGACTCACATTCAGACAAAATAACACCGCGCATCTCTATCCTCGCTTTCTCTCGGCCGCAGTCCAATATCGCTGGCGTCAACATTCGCACTCGCAAAATCAAACAAATCGAGAGTAAAAAACACACACACACACACACACGAAAAGACCAGGGAAACTAGATAAAATCTGCTGTATTTTAGAGATTTTTTTCCCTTTTCTCTACGCAATACCAAATGAACATAGCCGCATAGATTGACGGTATGAGAAGTCGCGACAATGTGCTGTAAAAACGGAAACTAATTTCATTTTCCGCAACAAATTCACTTGTTGTTTGAATAAATTTTTCATTCTCAGTAAAAAAAAAAGTCGAGTTGCTTTGTACAATGTGCCAACGACCAATGCACAGTAGCGAAAAATTCATACACATAAAAAAGTGTATGCCATAGTTGGCCGACGAACGAAGGCAATAAATAACAGCAAATTGACTGATTTTCGATTATCTCTCGCTAAGTTTCACACTGACCGCTTTGCCGTTTCGCTTTTATTTTGTGTATATTCCCAAACGAAAAATGTCAAAACGAGAAAAATTACCCCAAAAAAAATACTCGTTTTTACTATCCAATGAAATTTCCAGAAGAAGAGGAAGGGAGAATGAATCATTCTAGTTTTGATAATTGATTCGATTTGATATCCTTCTTCCTGGCATTTAGTGCAACCAACATCAAGTAAAAATCGATGTCAAATTTTTAGCAAACGAATTTATGAAGTAAAAAAAATATCAAATTAATTAATCTTTGCTTAGATTTTGCGATTCAGCCTATCTTTTTTTTTTCATTTTGCTGATTGCATCCAACTTCAGTTTTGGAACAAATTTAGAACATTTTCGCATCATTTGATGGCACCCTTTTTGCAAGAGTTATTGACCATGAAAGTTCACATTTTGTACGATGTTATCATTAGATTTATGCGACTGGAACAAAAATCCGAGCATGTTCAATGTAGCAAAAAAGAAAATGTCATACCGACTGCATTCTACTGAACCAAATTTATTCCAAGCAATTGTGAATTACTTGCATCTCGCTAAATCGGTGACATGCAAAACTTTGTTCATCTTTCATTCAATATGTCGATTTGTTTGGAATAGGAATACAATTGAATAAATAGAAATGCTTAAATTGCTATCGGCCAAAAAAGGGGAACTAAATTGAAAACGAAAGGAGATGTATAGAGAGAAAAGTAATACGTTGAAACTTTCCTACCGAAACATTTGCGCTGGAGAGTTTGAATTCGCCGTTGGTTTTTTTATAACTCAGTGGCACACGTACTTATACTCTTCAATTCATTGCTCTCAATTTCAAAGTGCCATCAACAGATTTCTCTTTCGAAAAAAAAAAGATGTTGCCATTCGAATTGGTGCATAGAGTTTTAAATAGCGGAAGCGATACGTTCCAAACGTACGTACAATATGTTTCGTTCATTTATTTGATTTGATTCTGTTTTGCTCTTGGCATCAATTTTTTTCCTCTGTTTGTTCAATGTACAATACTCCAGTTTTTTGTTGAGCTACTCTGATTGCTGTCACTCTTTTTGATGCTTTTTTGTTAATGTTGTTGTTGTCGATGCAGCCATTCTTTTTGTATGTGTACAAACGACGAACGAGTGTGTATTTTGCTCTAAGCATTCGCAATATAATTTGTATGACAGAGATATTTCGCCAAAGGCTATATATGACACAAACACAATCTATTTTGATATTCAAATACTTTGTATTTGCTGTCCTTTTAAAAACTGAGACGTGAATGTGGCGTTGTTAGTTTATCAGTACTTTAGTTTTGCATATCAGAAAGGATACAGTGCGTTTTTTGTTGTTTGTGAAAGAATGCCGATTGCCGAATATGCTTTGATCAAATTGCTTTAAATCGCTCATTATTCAATTGGTAAACAAAATAAAAATAAATAATTTCAAATAAATTTCACAGAGAAAATATCACTCGAACATTCATGTCATATGTTTTATTATGTGATTACAAAAAACCATACTAAATAATATACTTTTTGCCGCGAACATATAAAAAAACATCGAATGTAAATTTGAATATTTATGTTCCATTTCAATCAGCGCAAACTGTGTTAAATTTATTGCTTACAATTCCCATCGCATGAGGCGCCAATGCATTTGATATTTGACAGCTTAGCAGTCCAAACAAAAGTTTTGTGTTTACTACATACGCCACACAACAGTGATTCGAGTGCTCGAGACCGATTTTGAAGCAGTTGTTTGTCATTTATAGCGAACAAAATGTCGATGACAAATAAAAAAAGTATGTTTATATCGTTTCGCGATGATCCAAAGGACAAGCAAAGCATTTTCGAGGAAATTCGTTTAAACGTTCGTCGCGGATTGAATCATTTAAAAAGTACGAATATTCCCTCAACGCAAGAAATCACAAAAGAAATGAATGATTTGGCCATCGAAGAAATGACATCAAATGATCTTTGCAATGATCTTCGAGCGTACTATCGTACACATGAATGCCGTTTGCGAGACGTTGTTTATACTAAAAAATTATTCAGCGCAATTTGTTGTAATGCTCATATCTTCAAAGACAAGGTAAACACATTTTTTTTGGCGGAAAATATTTTTTTTAATTTTTACAATTTAAATACATACTTTATGAATTACATTAATAGATTGTGCTCGATGTGAGTTGTGATGTAGGAATGTCGTCGATGTTCAGCGTAATTGCTGGTGCAAAACATGTGTATGCGGTTGACACATCAAACATTGTACAATTGACGAAACGTATTATAGCCGATAATAATTTGACGGATAAAATTACTGTGATCAAAGGAAAAGTGGCAGATATTACGTTGCCGGTTGATGAGGTTGATATAATTGTGTCGACATTTTTTGGGTGAATAGCTTTTATTATGGCAAAAAAAATGAATTTTAATGAGTTTTTTCTCAATCTTAACAGGCAGTCATTGCTTTGTGAAAATCGAATAGACGAACTTATTGATGCGCGTGAAAAATGGTTGAAACCGAATGGATTGATTTTGCCGAATCGATGTAGCCTTTACTTAGCCGCAGTAAACCATAGCATGCTTTGCGATCGAAGTAATTTCTGGACACACGTGTATAAATTCGATATGCGGCCAATGATTAAAGCTGTTAACACCGAACCGTATTTACAGCATGTGAAAATGGATAAGGTTGGTTTTTAAATGGAATACTATTACTTTGAAATCGTGCAACGTGCACAAGCATTGTTTCAATTGTATTTTTTTTCTTTGAAATCTTAACAGATTGTAACGAATACTTGTCCAATCAAAGTCTTTAACATGTACACTGTTAAAAAGGGTGACTATCGCCAGTTCGATGCACCATTTTGCTTGGAGAGCAGATTTAAAGCAAACATTGGTGCATTTATCACGTATTTCGATATTGAATTCACGGAAGGCATTCAACCAATCAAATTTACATGTCAACCCGGTATGGAGATAACATATTGGAGTCAAATGGTTTTCTTTCTTTCCATCAATGATTTTATGCTTGACAAAGACGAAAGTTTTTCGGGTGTGTTTCGTTTCAATGCTCTATCAGACGACTACCGTAAAATTGATTGGAATATCGAGATTATGCACAAAGGAATTCATGGAACATTCAGAGAAAATTGGAATTTCCAAACCAAATAATATATATTTGACATCAATTGAATGTAGACATCATTTAATTTTCGTTTCATTCAAATGGAATAGTTTATGTTAAGGATTTAATGACTCGTGCCTATCAAATATCGGTCGAATTGAATACTCTATGCGATCATTGTTTTAGTACGTGATTGAATGTGAAAATGTTAAGTTAATGAAACAATAAAGACCAGATCAAATAATTTAAATTCGTTCTATTATTATTTGAGTTAGAAAGATTTTATTTTTATTTTCACATTTACTGTCACTTTAATGGCAATTGGTATAATTGTGTAGCAAAAAAACTGTTTACTTGTAACAACTTAATTGGAATTCGATGTGCAATTTCGAGACGTTTACGGTAATTTTCGGTGTTTTACCTTCGATAATATATATAATATATAGCCACAGAAAATGTGAACTTGTTTCTCATTGATGCAACCGATGCTACCACGGTATTGTAGGTTTCATACAGTTAGCACTTGTTTTTATCGGTTCATCTTCGCTGGAAGAGTGTATAATAAATTACAAAAGTGTCCGTCCTCCACTACTAAAATCCATTAAACATGCTATTTTTGTAAACCAACACCATTTTTCAACCTAAACGGCTTATTATGTTGCGTCTCTCTGGTTGCCGTAAGCGTGCGTGCAAAAGTAATATTACTGGTTGCATTATCTATACACCAAAGATTGAACGAGAGAGCGTGAGAAGACTCGGCCAACGACGATTATTTTTTCTCGCTCACACTGATTATTTGTTATTATTTTTCGGTAAAAAACGCGAGCGTCATAAATTCTTGTTCACAGCCATTTCGTTGTCATTATAATGTGAGTCACATTGCTAAAATGTGTTTACTTTACATTATCCTTCACTCGCAAATGTATTATTTAGGTGCGTGGAATACGTTTTGCGTGCGTCCTTTGGGAAAGTAATTAAAAAACAAAGTTTTTTTTTAATATTCTGCGTGAAATATGTCATTATTTTTTTTAGAAAGCAGAGAGACGTGAGATGTTATAAAATACTCAAAAGAGTAAAATGGTTGGCAAAAAATGTCTGCTGGTCATATGGACGTTGGACGCATAGGTGCTAATAAAGATTGCTTATAACCATGAATTTTCAATATTTTCTCTGTCTCTCTCCCTCTCTATTTATGTATTCTTCGTCAGCCGCTTTTATTAGTTACACACCATTAAAGTTTATTCCATGTCCCAAAATGATAATACTGGCATTGTTGAATGATTTCTGCATACTATATAAACATAAATTAACTTTCAACCATACTCAGTTTTTGGAATCATGCCATACCGCTTCAGCATTTTTTTTATTACATGCTCAGTTAAAAATTACTATCTTTTATTTATGCGGCGAGATTAATGTTATAAACAAAGTTTTGATGAACTTTGAAATTTGCACATTGCAACGACCTTCAGGCAATAATCCACCTATGTTTTGTAAAATACATCAAATGTACTGATGTAAACTTTCTTCCAAAAATGCATTAATTACTAAAATCAAGCGATTTCGTACAGGCGGACTAGTATATTTTAACATTTTTTGGAAAATTATTTTTTAAAGCATTCAAAGTTATTTCTAGTGACGTCGTAAAAAGTATACACATCGGTTTTCCGAGCATCAATAACGGTATGAATGAAATATCCAGCTCAGGTAAGTTAACGGTAAATTTAAAATATATGAGAAGTTTTCAATTATGCACATTCAAGCAGGGAAATCCTATTGAGATATTGAGGATATGTTTAAGTCTTCAGTAAAGTATTTTCCATTTTTTTTTCTCCCTGGAATGCTAGCGTCTAGAAGTTTCAACATCGCAACTGTTTCATTCAATAAATCCAAATGATAATAAAGATTCTTACAGGAGCAGGACGAACTTTTCCGCACGGTGGTAGATGCGTGTATTTTTTAAGCTAGTTCAAAATAATATTTGTTCGATTTTTCAAGCCTTTCAAGCGGCGTAAAGTTCGTGGCCAAAGAAAATATTTGGCATGGAAATATTCTTTAATTTATTAGCAGAAGTACTCGCAAAAGATTTTTCACACTTTCATGAACGAAAGACATTTGACATCTGAAAGTATTCTATTTTCTAACAAAACGCTATAAAAATATGTCTGAGCTCAATTTTCATTCAATTCAAACATTTTTCATAAAAAAGTCACAAAAAATTTGAATTTTTGTATGGAAACCATGCCTGTATGCAACCGCTATGGCGTAGAACTTTGCACAACCTACTTTTTACAAAAAAAAAAACAATCAAAGAGTTTGAAGAAATTTTAATCAAAAATAAGGGTACCTCCCATACAAAATGTTCGTTTTTTTTTTTTTTCGAAAGTACCCCCTAATATGCATTGAAATTTTTTCAAACTCTCAGAATATTATTTTTTTGTTGAAAAGAATAACCTGTACAAAGTTCCAGCTCATTATGATATCATACAGACATGAATGCCAAACAAAAATCATTTTTTTGTGATTTTTTTCAAAGAAACTGTGTCAAACATTGGTTGTATCTTAAAAATCACATCGAATTCGGTTTTATCGTGCCAAAAAACCCTTCAAATACATATTTTTGAGTTTTTAGATACACATAAAGTATGACTTTTGTACGAAAATTGAACTCTTTTTCAGGCATGACATTTTTATCCATCAACCAAAGTCGCTCTAATGATTTCTATTCCTAGCAACCCCCAATAATCCTGTAAAATCAGATTTCAAATTACTTTTCTGTGGGGTGAGATAATCGATGGATAAATTTTGCGTACGGCGGACAACGTACGACGTGGAAGCGACCCACAACAACCATGCTTAAAATGGCCTGATTCGGATTCTCAAACCACGAAACGTCCCGAAAATATGTTTTTGAGGTTTCGTAAATGTTGACTCATTGCAATACTTTCCCCTTACACACTAGGTGTGTACGGAAAAGTAATATGCCTTGGTTGAGTACTAATGCATCATGTGTGCAGTGAAGTCAATATACATAACGCATCAACGGGAGAAAATAAATCCAATCTAAAGCTGATTATCGGTAATAACATAGAGGTTCAAAATATTAGAAATTAGATTCATTCGAGCGTTTTAGATGATAGACTATGATGATGATGTTATGTTGTTGAAGGAAACTGCATCCCTAATAATAAGCGACATCTTCAACTATGAATAATGTTTTGATAGTTTGAACATCATACACCGTCAAAATTCAAAAATATATTCGAATTTGCTATCTTTTCCATTCTACGCATAGTCAAAATACAAATATGTGATTCTTATTGGAGATATAGGGTGTATCTGGCCTCTGAACGTTGATATATAAAGAACTACTATTGACGACTTCACATTTGTTTGATTTTTTTATAGAAATCAAAAAGTCAAAAGTTTTATAATCACCTCTTTACACCAAGATGGCGTTCAATGTAAAGCCAGATATTTCCTAATTATATTTATTCTTTAATGAACTGCATGCACTTATAACTATTATTATTGTTATACACACGTGAAACAACAAATTCAAATTAATGAATATATCCATCAAATAAAATGAAACATTCCCACAAGAAAATACGAGTATACGTAAAATATGTGAGGTTTTATTTTTGCGCATCTAAACAAATCCACAAAAATCTTATTTTGATCATTAGAACACATTATAGAGATAATTGATATTCAGCATATTGGTTCAAGTGTGTCTTGAGATTTAGAGAGCATATATAGAAAAAAAACTTCAAATTGTTTGAATGTGTGGGAATTTTCAACGCAAACTGTGCTTCCCAACAAGGGTTTAATTTGTGAATGGGTGCATCTGTATTGTACAGCATATTGTAAAGTGTTTGGGAGGTGTAGTTATCTGTTTGTTGTATGTGTTTTGTTCAGTTTTGCTTGTTTTCTTCACTACAAAATTTATCTCCTTGTTAAACAACCATTGAAATAATCGATTTGAGAGAAAACATTGGTTAAATCGTAACAAACACACAGAGCATGTTTTCCCATGCTCATCGAATGAACATTCACAACAACGCTTCACAAGAATTGCATAGAAAAAAGAGGCATAAATAACATAGATCTTTCTAAACAGTGTACTGCACACTCAGAAAGAAAATTGATATAATATAGTTCAATACGGTATATTGATATTAAATTGGTTTTCGGTAGTCAAGAATTCCAATAAAAAAAAAAACAAACCACTTCAAATTAAGACACAACAAATTTGAATTTATATGCAAAATTCGACGCGAAAAGTAAAGTAAGAAATTGTATCGTTCAAATCTCCGCACACTACTGATTTAGCACCTTTTGATATTTGTGGGGCACATTTCTTAATTAATAAATAAATCAATCAATTTAAGAAATGACGCTTAACTTTCAGAACATAATTCATATACCATATGTGTGTCACTATAGTGCTATAGGCTATAGGCAATATGCCTCAGTTGTCAAAAGATGGTAAATATTTACGGTTGCCAGTAGATTTGATATTATTTTACCGCATTGAACTATATCATATCAATTTTTTTCTCAGTGCATGTGTATAATAATGAGTATATTGGAATCAAAGCAATTGCTTGAATAGTAGATTATGTGTGAAAAACATCGAATGCCAATAGCATTGGAACCCGACAAATAGAAGTAGATTGAAGCGACATTAGTTCGAGCTCTTCATGGATGAAATCCGCAATGATTCCAGTAAGAATTCCAACCAAATTTCAACTGAAATTCATACAGCATTTAGGCCCATGTCAGACAATTTACGTACTCATCGACGTATATAGCCGAAATGTACACAAACTATCCACGTTGTATACTCGCTTCAAAAAATTTCTGTTTCACATTTATAGTAGTCGAACCGATGAGAAGCTTTGAGAGTAAGAGAGAGATTTAGAATAAGAGAGATTGTAATTCAAAGGCGATTACTTTGGTATCGAGATTGAAAAGCATGTATTTTGATGCTGATATGTAAACAATACCATACCATAGATTCAATGTGAATTAAATTATATACCAATATACATAAATATCAATGTAATAGAAAATGGAAAATCAATGAATTTGTTGAATGGGTTGAGTTTTTGCCGATATCTTCCATAATCACATGACAATATATCTATTGATCCGAATGACACTTCGGAATCAAATCATTTTTCATTGAAATAATATCCAAACAATGAGTTTGAAGTAATTTTCATTCTATAGTAAATTCTGACT